GCTGCTGGACCAGTTAATGATCCTGCTACATCACAGAAATTGCAGCTTTAAATAAATATGAGCGGCGTAAAGTGTAGAGTTTATTTTCACCATAGTTTGTGTTGCTCGAATATTTGATTATCGTTAAAGGTCATGTTGTTTAGTCTCATACCAGAGATCGACGAGGCAGGAGATGGGGACGTAGCAGGACCGACACCAACATCTGCATTTTCAATGTGGGTAGTCGATCAGTAGTCATACTTCTATTGTCATCTTTTATGGTATGCGCTCATTCTTGATTTTCGCACGCAGTAAATTAAAAAAGTTACACTAAATAATAAACGTTTATGATTGATTGAGAGGTCTCTCCATTGCCTAGCCACAATGGGGAGAACCTTACTCCAAAAGTTCCTGCTATCAGACTAACAGGCTCAAAACAGCAAAAAAAAGGAATAGCTTACTACTACGAAGGGATACAATCGCGGCCAGCTGTTAGTGGATAAGATTTACTGGATTATTTGTCTGTGAAATGCAAGTATGCATACTTCTAATGTTGCTTACCATTGCAGCGGCTCACTGGCGGAGTCTTCACTTTACAATCTACTGGAAGTTGCAGTGCCTGAGTCCGGTTAATGGTAATACCGAGTGAAGGAACTCCATCTTTGAGAACGGCGCACAGACATATCGGCTTTGACTTAACAACAGTTGCCAGCCGCGAACAGCATGAGCTCGTCGGAGTTGAGGCATTGCCGGTGATGTAGTTCAGGCAAGGAGCCAGGCTAAGGATGGTTGACATGCAATTGCTGGTTGATTGGGCCGAGGCTCCAGCCCATAAAGTGATGGTGAGGACCACGGCTAGGCTCAAGTGGGAGATTGTTGGGGTCATTTTCAGGAGAAATACTAGCGGTTTAGAGAATGTGAGTATGGGGTTTATGATATAGGATGGTGTTTGTGAGGAAAGAAGAGGGCTAGGGGTTTTATAGAGAGGGTTTGTGTGTATTTGTGTGTTTTTTTGAGGGTAAGTGTACCTGTTGATGAATGGCCCATGCTACTTTCAAAGAGGTGTTTGATCCCTGTTTAAGATCCTATGTCATCCTATGAACTAAACCAGCATGACTGGAGTTGGGCGTAGAGTCACGCCCTCACGTCACGGAAGCGATATCACCCGAGAGAAAACCTTGGCTTTTGTTTTCACAAAAGCTCAAGTCAATCTCTATATTTTCGTTTCACAAAGGAACAAGAACAGAAGTAAAATATCTCAACAAAGTG